TGGGATTAGGGACCACAAGTATTGATGTTAATATTGTTTGGGACAGTAAGAGCATAAACTTTGCCCATGCGAAAAGACAGGTGGCTTTAACCATGAGAATTAATGGAAAAGAGTTGGGGTAGCGACCATATATTAGACTGATTGTGTGTTTTACTTGTAACTAACCAAATGCAGTATGGAAAGTCTCAATATAATTATAGATTTCTTAATAGGTTAACTTTCTTAATAATGCAACTTATAGTGGAATTACTTACTGTAGAAAGGGGAATTAAAATACATAATCAATAATATAATTCACTTCATACATTCCCAACACAATTCCAACACAGGTATATACATCGAATGTACTGTACCTACAGTATAATTCATAAAAACAACAATTTAAATAGATCATGCTATAAATTCACTATTCGCGAAAGTACTGCGAGGTCGCCTCATATTGGCTGCCAATCAACGTGGAGCACACCGGAATAAGAAGGAGCATTGCATGAAAGTTAACAAACAACAAACATGAAATAACAAACATGAAACATAGAAGATACATCTGTGCTGGCTCCAAAGTTTGACAAGCCTCTCCTCCATTTGCACAGTCCAAAACACTCACTCCTTATTTCTTTGCAGCCACCATTGCTCTTCACTGTTTGTGGGCATTGTATGCATTGTACTTCCAGTTGAGCAATCATTGGCTGTTGACTGTCGCAGACACAAGACCCCACCCCTATGACTTGCGACACACTAAGAGAAAATCAAACCAGTTTTATTTTGTCGAAGCGAGTAGCAGAGATTCGTAGGAGCTGTTAAGGGTGCTATGACTGAGTCGCTGGGGGTGTCACACTACACAACTGACTGTAACGGGCACGCACTGCGACTATCTGCAACTCTCTACAACCTGCTAGGATTTTCTTATGATTATGTAAATGAAGGCTACGACTGAAAATCCTAGGAGAAGTCGTGTTGTGTGATGCCTGCATTACCAGTCATGGCCTAATAATAATCCCCTATTATAAACTGGCTTCATTACCCTGCTCTTCTCCAAACGAATAGCTGATGTGTGGTGAGCATACTGGAGCACTTTAACTGCCATCACACCATCCAGGTGGGGGGGTTGTGATGGAGGGGAGTCCCCAGTACTATAAAGCGCTGTCTAGAAAAGAGCTATGGAAACATAGGGAATTCTTCTTCTTCTGGGTGTATAGTGGGGAAACCTATACTGTGGACCGCCTGTGTACACAACCTACTCCACACATTCAAAGTAAAAAACAAAAAAGAAAGATATAGCAAAGTAATCTGTAAGAAAAATAGAAAATACTTGAATGCATAGCTATTAAAACTTTTCTTGTGGCTGTCTCTGTAAGATTCCTCCGTCAGGGTTTGAATTTCAAGCTAGGAAACACCCATGAAGCCCAAGAGTTTTCAAAACAACTCACAGATAAAATTGTATAATGGCACAGAGAAAAGTAGAAACACATTTAAAAGAGCCTTAATACTGTATCTGTTTGACAGTGACAAAGTTGTTCATTTATAAGTGTATAAGTGTAAGGCATCGAGACACTGCCAGGCTGTTCCTCCAAACTAAGCAACAAAGCAAGGAGGAAACTGGCTAGGAATGCCATCATGAGGCCAATGGTGACTTTGAAAGAGTTGAGGCAGAGATGGTATTGTGTAAACAATATCCTTGTCACTCCACAAAGAGAGTGTCACGATATTAGTTCCCCCTCCTTAAGGGTGCTCCAGCCCTTTTACTTAAGACTTTATTCTCTGCACCTGTTTCCTATTCCCAGCCCACCTTAAAAGCCAGGCGCTGACGCTCATCCGGGCTCTGCATCTGATTTCCATATCCTGCGAGTCCGGGACCTGGAAGCGCCTGGTCCCGTTAAGGTTTTAATCTCGGTTTCCGTTCCCGTTCCTGTTCCCTGTCCGCCGATTCCGACCTGGGCTTCGTGTTTTTAATTCCTTGTTCTGATGGATCTCCTGGTTTTGGACTTTCTCGTGTGTTTTTGGATATTCCCTAAGGACTTCTCTTTTGGATTGTTCGCCTCGGCCACACCTTCCCCGTGCACCAGCGTACCTTGGACACGCCCCCCTGTCTTCAGCCCCGTTTTCCTGCATGACGTTTCCCTAGTGTTTCCCCACTCCGTCGGACTGTGTCGTCCGCATAGGGTCCGGAAAGAACTGTTCGTTACAGAGAGTTTGTCTATAACTGAAAAAAACATCTCATATTCCACATAGAGTTTGCAACAAAGTTATACTTTAAAATATGGCAAACATGTTGTAGTCAGACAAGACAACATTGGACTTCCTGATCTTGATCCAAAGCTTTACATTTGTCTGAAAACCTTCTTAGTGCATCATCAGTGCATATTCAGTCAGCATCATTCCTGTTGTGAAGCATGTTGGTGATAGCATTAGCATATAGTTCTGCCTCTCATCAACAGGGATTTGGAAACATCTTAAGAATGATGGTACATACTGTAGATGCAGCAAATTACACGGAAATCCTAAAGGAAAAACTGATGCAGACTTAAAACTGGGACAAACACTCACTTTTCAGGTGGAAAACTTGAAAAATGCTGTTTATAAATGATTCCCAAACACCTTGAGAGAGTTTGTGCAAATCTGTCAAGAAGAAAGGAGGAGAACTGAACCAAACCAGTATGTAAAGTTGGTAGAGACTTAACCAAAAAGATGTAATTTCTGCCAAAGGTATGTTTACATTGAGTTCAAAGGTCTGAATACTTATGCAATACTTATGCAATCAATATACTGTATTTTATTTCTTTCTAGTATTTGCTGACATTCACTGTAAATCATCTTACCCCTAGAAGTCTTCAGTTTAAGCATTCAGGTTTCACATAAAATCTTAAGTTAAAATATGTATCTGCATCATTTCACAAAGTAGGACACCACAGGAAAAGTTTGAATACTTTTGCAAGGCACTGTGTACTACTCTTGGAAGTAATGAGGAAAACAAGTACATCTCGATAAAATCTAAATCCAGGAAAAGAAAAATTCAAACAAGGATTTTTTTTTGTTCTGTGTTGTCCCTATTTGTTTCCTAGGAAAGCAATGTGGATACACAGGAGAAGATCATTGAGTAGTCACAAATCCAAAGGGATCCAGTTCCCATAATTTTTGAAGTAAAAGTTGTAATTATCCAATTTCCACCAAACATAAGGATTCGTAAAAAATACAGAGATGAGATAAAAATATAAATGCTGTTGAAACATTTTAACCACTTTCATTTCCTGCTAAAAAAAACACTTCCTGGGTTTACATTAAGACTTGTTCATCACTTTTTCTCACAGATTCAGCATGTAAGATCTTTGAAAATCTTTTTTCCAGATCAGATGTTTTATCTTTCTTTCATCCATATGGCTATGAACATCATTCTTATTCTTTTAATGTCACATACAGTATGTCTTATTTTTTAATACGTCTTAAGTTTAAAGGATTTTCAGAAAGTATGTTACGTTGCAAAAGCTATATATAATTATTGATATATAGACTTGGTTAGAATGTTTTTAATTTGTACGCTTTCGATATCGCTGTATAGTGTCATAAACTTAAATCAGATCTTCTCATTGACCTATTACATGGGGGGCTGTGGGAAAGTCCCAGTTATGATGTAGAAGAAAGACGTTACTGTGGTTAATTCATAAGATACATAATTTTGCTGTTAATAATCTTTCACACAACTAACATTCTGGACCAGGCCTTCCAAATGCACCATGCCCTCTTTGAATACAGGGATATTTAAGGCTACATAATCTTTTACATATTAAATATCCTGGAAGTACTGAAACATATGACATAGGACTTTGAGTATAGATTATGAAATACACTTCATGAGAGTTTCTCAGTGGTTTTATACAAAAGAAATACAGAATAAAAACAACTGAATATTTTATTAATAATATTTCATATTTAAAAAAGGAATGCTCAACATGTTGTTCATATATAAGGTAAATGTCCAGGAAACTAGTTGTTCAAACATATAGTAGCTTCTCTATAGTGACAGTAGTTCAACCAAGCAAACAGTTGTATGATATATTATTTAATTTTTTCCTTGTTTTTCCATATTTCCTTATTATTAGGAACCTTAAATAGTTCTTAATTAGCATCTGAGATTCAACTGACAGCTTTCTTTAAAATCCATTCAATGAAAGCAGCACTGGAAACTATTGGTTATATGTTTCTGTATGCACCTGCAAACTCTTTCACAGTAATTCAGTGTAATTCTTAGACAACTGTTGTTTTTTTTTTCAAGAAAATAAGAAAGATGTGGGAACAGCATTTCTTAAACCTGAAACTTTTAATCATAAGAAAATTGAAAAATGGGTATCACTTTCTTAGAATTTTTTATGTCAATCTTTCAATATGACTTTTTCAGATTTATTCAAGGTGTCTTTCCTATTTTGAAGGTCTTTAGATCCAATTTTAACAGCAAGTACAATTTTATTCTCAGAACAGAAGGGAGGTCTCACTGTATTTGCATGTCAACCAGTTAATGTCTTTGTGAGTAACTTTGTGCTGTGTTTAAGCTCAAGTACATGTTCATCTGAAAAATATGCAGTCTCTTTTGATCAGTTTCCTGATGATCTTGCAACACTCTCAGAACACCTTTCAAGCTTCCTGATAACACTTACAATGTGATATTTCTGGTGATTAATCTCAGAGGTTCTTTCTGCTCTTTTCTAAGAATTATTTATAAAGTTTTAATGCTATAATACTGTTCCTAATTTCAGAAATTCCTCCCACACACATGAATAAGTCTTAAACATATCTGTGTCTTTTTTTATTTTTAAATGTATAGGCTATAATACTGTTATATACTTTCTTGGAATTAAAAAAAACAAAATATGCTTGACCTATATCAGAGTTAGTTGTCAGCAAGGATGTGAAAATCAAAATGTAGATAGCGCGTTGTTAAGCGCCCAGGATACAAGACATTATCTTCAGATAATGCCAGCTCTTTATTAGTTAAGAGAAGCTAGTTGTCTTGTACAGGGTTTAATGTGAGGATCTTTAAGAGTTACATGGCTGTCATTCATATAAATAAAAAATTCAAAGGTAAGGACTGGAATCACTTTTTTTGTCACATAACGTTTCCAAATCTTAATATCTAATCAATCTAATTGTTTTCAACGTTAGTTTTAAATGACAAAAATGTTTATAAACATGTCTTTGTTTATATGTTTATAAAATGTTTATAAACAAGCTTGAAGTTTTGCATTTTACAATAGCATGGTATTAAATGTATGTGATATTAGGCTGTGAACATACTTTTACTTATCTTCTAAGGGAAATTACGTTTTGAAAACAAAATTCTGAAGATTTTCTTAGTAGTAGGCACTTAATGAAAATAATCATGGAAGCTCTTGGTTATCCATGCACTTTTTAAATGTTATAGATCTGATTTTGGTTTGTGTGCAATTATGAGCAGGAAGTTACTGTTGACCTATTTAACCCATGTAGTTGATGAGGTGGCATAAACTATGGATAGAAATGCTGAGTTTTATAATGCTCTCTAATGCCTCCCTGTCATCTTCAATGGGGATTCATGAATTTGTGAGGTCATTTATCATTTCAGAACCATATGCCATATATGCAAACAGGAAGATAAGCTTGTGAATTTTAGAAAAGCAAATAAAGTCGGTCTCAATTAAGCTTTGTTGAAAGTTTATGCATTTATTTATTCATTATCTCTGCAAAGCAATTTTCCATATTAATTACAGTGACAGGAGGAAGGTAATAAACACAACAGCTAAACAGGAACTTGTTTTATGCAGAAGTACATGGTGTTTAAGGCACCCCAGACCATCTCTTGTAAAGCAATATAAATGTTGTTTTTTTATATATCTGCCGACAAGTATTAATATTTCTCTATTATAGGTTTTAGAGTAAACCAAGTTTTGTTTGAGCTGAAAGCGTTTGTTAACAGTTTTAGTACGTTTTTCCATTACGTATTTCCTTAGATCTCTTTTGGATTCTGGCATAAAAACGAAATAAAAAGGATGTTCTTTAATGATAATTTGACTCTAGTATCTGGCTTTTCCCCATTCCCAAATATCTACAAATATCTAAAAAGAAATCTACATTTCTATGTTTCCTTTGTTATGCAAATTTCGCGTAACAGAATATGAGTGCTTTTCGATTAACCTCAAAATGTCGACTAAACTTTCCCGAACGGTAATGTGTAGTGCCTAATAATTTCCTTCCATACATACCAATTGTGAGTGGAAAACCAACTCTTCATCAGAAAAAAAATCAGTTTTGTGCAGGGAAATATTTACTGTACATATGGCATTCGGGATTGCAAATTATGATGCCTCTAATTAGTAGCTGCTTCCATTTCAAGCACTAAAGAAAATGGCCGATTTAACATGGTCTTTCTATACACATTCACATATGCATACATTATATGTAGTGTATACACTATATATTAATATTTGTTTTCTGAAAAAAATCAATTTCAATCTGTAATTAAGGGGTAATTTGTATAATAGTAGCTGAAGATTAAATTCCCCCCCTATCCATGACAAAGTGCTTCTCAATTGGCTGTTTAAAGTTTAGGTTTCCTTGCATGTCTGTAGTATTTGTCGTCAAGATGTTGTTGAAATGAAAAAGGGAGCAGTGATGAAATCAGACCATTCTTCCTTTCATCAAACATCTGTTGTTTCTTGATAGAATAACACAATTACTTTGCTTCTTTAACAAATCTTTAACTTCATTTCATTTTCACTTTTAACGATTATATTGGATTAGTACGTTTGCAAAACCAATTGAACCGTGTTTTCCGAAGGTGTATGGGCAATTGGAAATAATTTCCAGTTGTGGCAAAAAGTTGCTATTGCTGACTTAATATAAACCGCAAGTAACTGAACATTTTCGCAAGTGAAACTTGGAAAAAAGCCAGGCAATAAGCCCTTTGAACCTTTGCAAGTATACATTGTCAGCTTTACAAACAGGAAAACTTAAAAGACACCAAAAAGTCATGCATTTTTCTAATTGCAGATGGAAGTATGGTTTGGAGAAAGACAGGCTGCAAACACCCCTGACAACATAAAGCACAGATCCATCATCTCTGCTTTATGCTGTATTGTAATACTTTTTCAACTGCATTTCAACACACTTAATGTTTTAATCTTCAACATCATAAGCATCAGAATATACAACAACAAAAACATGTTTGCACTTTGACATGCAGTGGTTAACTGAAGACATGAATAGAAGAAAACTGATTACAAACAAGACAAGCTATTTCAGCAAGAGTAGCAGTTGGTACAACTTATTGTTTCACAGGATATGTTATTCTTTTTCTAAAGGAGCATATTGCATTTATATTTGTCTTATGGTCTCCCTGTTTTAAGTTTTTATGACCTATGAATCCCAGTTCACTGGCAGTTCTACTAATCTCTTAGAAACTATAGTTATAAACTATAACTGCCACTTTGGAAATTCTGAGCATGTTAAAGTTAAAAAACAACTACATTGGTACAGAAATAATGTAAATAGAAACATGTAGTGATGCACATTGAATTAGTTTATTTTAATATACATGATTCAGAGTAAATTTAAAAAGTCTACTCTATCTTAAATACTACTGAAGCTGGTCATTTCAGCCAAGCATACTCAATAAAACAATAATATTAACACAGGCTTCTCAAACAGCTAATGGGCACACATTTTATAATTCAGTATCAGGGAAAGTGCAATTTTTTGCAGTCTGCCAAACATAAATGGTTATCTTGCCAAACCTAAAGATACCACTCTTTTTGTGGCACAAGGTTGTAAACACATTTTGAACTTTTTTCAATGTTTTTAAGATACAATCATTGTGACTCAAATTTTATTGACGCTTGTTTAATTTTGAAACTTTGAAAATATTTCCAGTTTTTGGCATGACCCGTTGTCTTTGAGATGTGTTTATATTTCTTAAGTACTCTCTATTACTCCCACATATTAGGTTTGCCCTAATGCATGTTGCTCCTACGATGTGCCTTTGGGCGATAGGAAAGAATTAGATGAGCGATTGAAAAAATAAAGTTTCTCTTTGGCTTTAACAGATTAACTATTACCCCAAAATTATCTTCAATATTGAATCTCACAAATATAACCATTTGTAATCATTATGTGCAGTCTTACTCTCAACAGTGCACATTTCCTTCTAGGAACGTTTTACCAATAGACAAAATGTTAAGTGCTCGTATAGAATTTGGAGAGACATTGTTTTTGATACATTATTTTAAGCTAAAAAAGATACAGTGCCATATGCCAATGTTCTCAGGATTTTTGTCTTATAACAATATTGTAATTATATTAAAAATAGGATTAATACAAATTATCACACTGTTTGACATATAAAAAATGCTCATTTAAGCTTTCATCAAATGATGGCATTCAGTTTCTTGGATATAAATTTTATTTGTACATTACAATTTTGTGAATCATATTTTTATCTACCATGTTTTTTACGCATTGTTTAAAAATGGTATACAACCATTTCTCAATGATAATTGCCTTGGTGTAAACAATATAGGGATGTTCGACAAAGGGTCAAAAAGGAACGAGACATTTTCACAGACAAAATATTATTGTATCTTAGAACGTCACCTCCTAACATTTCAAGGGCATCCTTCAAACCCTTTAAAAAAAACATTTAATCTGACCTAAATGCTTGAATTTTAAACAAATTTTATCAAAACATTAAAATAGTCTCAATTTTCAGTATTCATTTCACTATAGAATTTATTCTCGTCATATATTTTATTGTACTATATATTGTTTTATTTTCTGTTCATACTGTATACTGCACTATACAGTTTGTTGTCTCAATTAATTTAATGTGTACTGTATATTTGTGGTGTAAACACTGTGTATCATACATAAATACGATTTGTTAAATTATAAGAACTATTGCATTCATTTGTAGTTAAGTAGTAAATACTTAGCTACCTAGCTTCAGAATGTTAGCAATCTTAGCATTTTATGACACTGATGTATTATGTAGAAACTCATAAAATAGTTGCTTTATATATGAACCTTTTATTTTTTGTATAACCTGCTATTTAATTATTGTCAAAAGCATCTCAGAGTCCACATACTCCTAATTCCGTGCAGGAGAGAGAAGCTAGCAGTGCTTGTTCGCATTCTAGTAATTGTAGGTTAGCGTTTGAATGTTCATCTAAAGCTGCCTTTATGCTTCTTTCAAATGTCCACATTATTTCTTCTGTACCTGTACCTATTGTGGTACTGTAGTTACAGAAGTAAAAAAGACACAAATCACAAAAGTAAACTGGGCTTTTTGTTCTTCTTGTCCCACAAAACAAACTGGACATAAAAAGGCATATTTTCAATTATATTTTATTAACTGAACAAAAATACAGTTTTAATAAATCTATGTCATTAGTTTATGCCATATATTGTACAGCTTTAGCAATAAGAAAATGTTATTGTACAAATTTGTTTTCAAGTTCACACCAACTTTAGAATTTATTTGAAATACTGCAAAGTTGTGTGCAGGAAAATGCATTTTGTGTCAAATGGATTTCTGTTAAAAAGATTCCACCATCTTCTACCATAGTCCTCACATGGGACATACAGTAGGAAAGTTTACAAACTTTGCCAATTGGCCCATCTATTTTGTTTGTTTGCTGGTAGTATCTCTTCCAGGTGTTTCTTGAAAAACATTAGTATTATCAGCTTTAACAACATAGCTGAGTCACTTATTCCAGACACCCTTAAAGAAGTACCTCCTGCTGTCAGTTTCACGCATACAGTAGTTTCCACTGGTGTCCTCTGGTTTGTGTTTCACTGTTGACCCTGAACAAGGTCTTAGGGTTGAGTTTGTCAATGCCTTTGAAGATTCTGAATACTTTAATCGGGTATTCTTGTCATCTTCTCAGTTTGACACTACACTAGTAAACATACCGATACAGTTCTGACTCTAGTTCCCCTCCATGTGCACTGATGGTTTGTATTGTAACTCCATTATTATTATTGCCAGCAGTGTAGATTCTTATTAATTCAAATAATTTGTCATTTGTTAGATTTGTGCATGTTTTAATGGTCCTCCACATAACCTTTTTAATTCTATAACTCACATATAGTGAGTACTGGTTCTGAAAATATTATGCAACTATTATATTTTGAATGAAATTTTTGCGAAGTAAAACAGCATACATAAAATTTATGTGATAAAAATATGAATTACATAAATAACTTTCAGATGTGTTCACTAAGGTCAAAATTCCAAGTATTTATTGTTGTTTTCAATATTACATCTTAAGGAACACCGACATCATCCCTGGCCCAACACTTTAAAAAAATATTATGACATACAGTAAAAGCACATGTGCTCAAGATTTTACTCAGATGATGGACGACTTAATCATTAATGTCAAAGTGATTATTGTGGTACTCCTTGTCGATTTTGAAGATTACAGTTTGAACTGATAAAAAATAGTGTGTAAGGTATTTCTGAATGGCTGTTTTAATATTAAATTACAAAACAGTGCACAGATAACCCAAAATATAATTTTGACAAATTTTAATTTTTTAGTTCAGAGGACATTTTTTCTATAGGAAAAAATCTGGCCTATGATACAGAAGTGAATGTGGCACAATTATATAGAAATTACTAATATCATTACCAATCATTATAACGGAGATTACCTCAGTATGTAGGGTGTCATCTTAAATGGTCCAACAACACTCTAAGCTTAGCAGTAACAGCAGTCTACAAATTTCAAACCATTGCAGAGTCACTTGGGAAGTTATTTTACAGTTATGCCACAAAATAACATCAGTTCCAATACAAGGATGTTTTTTGTAGTTATTATTTATCTTCCTGAACTTTTTAGAAAATGCATGACACTGTGATAGCATATAGACTTCAAGTAACTACTGTTATTTAAAAAAAATATTCAGCTACAACACTGATTGCTGAGGATTAAATCTACACATGTGACTTGTTGCCTACTTTTTGAGCAGATACTGTGTAATATGATATTTAGAAAATAGTTATAACATGGCAATAAACTGCGTATTAGTATTTCTCAATTGTGTTGCATTCTGTTCTATAACTGGCTATCCCTGACTAGGAGAATATTTCATAGTTTATTTTCTTATGAAGCGACCTAATTGATCTGCTTTCAAACACATTACTGATTGTATCCCACAAGTCTAAGTGTTCATTCACAAGGAATGACAACGCCCCAGAATCGAAGCGTAACAAACTATTGTTGAGTGAATATTTGGCTTAACCCGCTTGGCTGAGGGCCGACCTCCTGCCTGTAGGACGAGGAGGCCAGGACCTCACCGCAAGGCAACCAAGGGGCAGCTGCAGAGGTGGAGGTGGGATGCAAAAGTCACACGCGAGGGAGAGAGATATCGCATTTGGTATTTATAGTGTTCGGTGTTGGAAGGTGATTGCTAATCGCTGACGGCTGGGAATGATTGAGTGTGGTTGTTGTCATCCCTCCCGAACTTTAGTTAAATAAACTCCATTTGTTTTTCTTCTAGCTTTAATATATGTATAAAATACAGTGCGTATATACACATATACAAAATGCAGTTTTAAACTCTTGTTATATGGAGACTGAGCGTAATTGTCAACATTTGTATTATTTTAATAGGAGAAAATACTAATCATTTCCTTATAACTGCGATTTAAACTGAATAAAACACAGTTGCTTAGACTCATATTCATTCAGTTTCTTAGGTAATTCACTTGTTAACTCTATTTCCTTGTCTTTTCAGAAGTTTGTTCTTCCTTTAAAAAAGTGAAGTGCAGAAAATAAAATGGTTTACAAAATCTTTGGGGGCTCACATTTTCTCTCAAATATTTATGTTATTTTTTTTCATTAGTTTTCATCTGCTGCTTCATACATAACCTATTCATAAACGGCATGCAATGCATTACTTTTCATATCTTGGTCAAAGCATAATAATATCTATGTATAGAGTATATATATATATTAGTATTTGACATGCCAAAATGCAATTGATTTTAAATGAATACTTTGATAAGTATTCTGCTCCGATACTACTATAAAAGATGATAATTATGTGATCACTTCAACGAGAACAAATTTATTTAAAAAAAATGAACATCATTTTTTAAGTTTGCAGATAAGTGCATAAAAAGCTAAGTGGTTTTGTTAATGGAATATATAGATAATGATCATTGTAGATGAAGAGAAGTGATTGATTGTGGTCAGAGATGTGCATTTGGTAGTGCAGTAAGCTCAAACATCATTTTGCAAAATTGAAAGTTTTTTGCAGCAAAATGTTTAACTCTTTACATTCTTAACTTTATTTAAAATGCCAACACCCTTTGTTGCAATGTGCTTTCTAGATGTTATGGTTGAGGTCAGCTATGTTATTATTTTCCTATAGCTAATATCCTTACTTTTTAATGTCAGAACTATTAAAGTCATATCTGCAACAGAAATGTCAACTAATTCATTTTTCCCATTTGGGAAATCACTAAGAACAATGCTCTTGGGCAGACATGCTATAGAAAAGGCCTAAACTATACAAAAGGCAAGTTTTTATAGGCAATGACAGTCCTTATCACATTTGGTGGATGTTTTATAGTACATATTTTTATTTGTAGTCTTGGCATCTGTAACAGATGAAAGGAATCAGTGTCACAGCTGTAGACTTACATTGTTCCAAAACTCAAAGGTGTTGTTTACATATTTACTGGTGAGACCACACTGTTCCCCTGCAGTTGGCTACATATGACTTTAATAAAAATGTGTATAGCCTGCCCATCTTGTGACCATTCCTGCTTTTTCTGTTTCACTTAACTTTAAGTTTGGCAGCTTAAGGATTTTAAACAGCAGGATCATATTATACAGCCCTTATACAGTATGTGCCCTGATGGGAGAATAAAAACAACAACTGTCACTGCAATATACTAGGTTTTGTATAGGTCTAGAAACAGTATTTAATAATATAATACTTAGTAACTTATCTACTACCTTTTAAACCTTTTAAATTATAAGCTTTGCCATCCACATTTTCAAATATTTCAGATGTATTTAACCAGATCATACTTGCCTATTAAAAGTAAAATCCCTCTCCTCAGATTAGAAATTCACAGCTCTGTTTGGAGCCTGTACTCATTCTGTCTAATCACTCTACTGAGCATGTGCACAAGTTCAAAGTATCGGGAACTGCGTGCTGCAGACACACTATCTGGCACAGAGACAGTGATGAACTCACTTTTGGGGGAAAATCTTGTTAACTGGTGGCAAAAAATGAACAATTAGCCCATAAAAATACACAATTCTGAGTATGAAACAGTGATACATACTGAAAAGCCATTGCCCTAACCACTTGAGAATTCATAGAAAACAGTTTCCTAGTTTTGTGTACTTACAAGACCTGGTCTTACTCATCACAGAATACCAGTGTGGTTCTACAATGTTACAGTTACAGCAATAATGCATTTAGTGGTTATTGAAAATGACCTCTGTACATTCCCAGTACATCAGATGTGATGTCATACTTTGTTTTCTGATTTAAAGTAGTATATTCAAAGGTCAGCATTGCTTTCAAAATCTTTGTTACCTTAGCATTTTGTATAACAAAAAAAGTCTGACCTAAATCTGAAAACTGCAATTAAAAATAAAATAGATTAATACATTAAAGAGCTTCATTTGTGTTTAGTTTCCGCAAGCCCTTATCACAGAAAATTGGAAGCAATATTCCTACACATCTTGGTAAGAAAAAAAGAGAAAAGGAAGTTGGGGGAAGATACATCTTTATCGTGGAAAGAAACACACGCACAGTCTATTATGTGCTGGATGTGGTCTACTTTTGAAATTTGAAATTTTGCCAAAAGTGTTCTCTGAGAAATGTGTGTATTTGTTAGTTTACCAAAGATGTAGAGTATACAGTACCACCTAAAAGAGAGGGGAAATTAATGTTTGACTTTTTAAGAATAAATTTGACACAATGTACAGTAATACAGCATAAAAAGGAAATACAAACTTTAATCCAAGGAAATGTGAAAGAAGATTGATACTTGCAGAAATTGCAGAAATAGGTTCCTTAAGCCATGATGTCCATGACTTTGGCTAGTAGATATGTAATAATTGTACAATGGAAATATCTATTTTTTCATAAATCATGTTATAAATATATAGCTAAAATTACATTTTAAATATTTTGTGCTGACAAATTTCATGGAGGCAGAAGTTAAATGGACCTCAATTAAAAAGTTCAGGTTGACTGACATAACTATATTAAGCTTTGTACTGTATGTACAGTAAGAGGAACTTTTACCTCAGAATGTGTAGCTCAAATCACATGCTTAGCTGCAGTGATATACAGTTTGCGCAGGTTTTATCAACCTATAGTTGACTACCTTTTTCTTCAGATTTTTGTTTTTTCAGTGGTAAATAAAAAAAAAACAGAATCCACAATTAATTATAAAATACAAATAAATGCTAAATCTATTTGAGTTCATTGTTAGACATATTTAATTGTTCACAATATTAAAAATTGCATGTCTAAACGACATTAAAATAGTGATATCATATTAAATGGTGCATGGGTACTGGTTTCACAGACCATGTTTTGTCAGTTTTGTTCAATATACTGTAGATTAGTTTCACCATACTAAGCCCTTCCAACACTGAATGTAATCTTTCAGACTCTAAAACTGATGCACGAGTATGTCAAGTTAACAGAAAGAAGTGACTCTACAGTTTCTACTGCATGTACTGTAAGTATGTTGAACAGCATTGTTTTTTTACAATTATCCTACTTGTTCAAAGTAGATAAACGTTTTAGCTAAAAATGTGAAGACAAAAAAGAAAAAAAAATGTTTAATAAGATGTTGAAGTTAAGTGTTTACTTATTGACATTATTTTTGGATTTCGTTATTAAGGTATATGCTCCTATCATTTTTTTTAGTTTTTTAGTTTTATTTTTAAATTTTCATCTTCACGTCATCAAAGTGTGTGTTATGATTATGATGTGCTAATTCATTAAAAAAAGCATTACATTATTTTTCTAATGCAATTAGTGGCTTCATTACAAGTGATTGTTATTACAAAACAGACGTTTATTGATAAACAGCATAGCTAATGGGCTGTTAGTTAAAATCTACATCTCTATCTTTATAGAAATAAAATATGTATAATCTAAACATTAAAAGAATGTAATATCATTTTTCAGATTCTGAACCTAATATATATTGAATGCTGTTTCTCTGTTTTCAGCTTATAATAATAATAAACTTTATTTTATATAGCATCGTTAAAGGTGGCTTCTCAAAGCGCTTTACAGAATGACAGCAACAATAAATAAAAAGAATACACAAGATAAAACACAATTACAATACACAGAGGAGGCCATGGATAGTGGTACTAAGTATAGTAGGAGCAGAGGGGTAAAGAATGGAACCAGTCAAGTAATGGCTCTTCTAAAGAAGAAGGTTTCGAGTCTGGATTTGAAGGAGTGTAGAGAAGGTGACTCTCTGATATCCTTGGGGAGAGCGTTCCAGAGCTTGGGGGCATAACAGGAGAAGGCCCTGTCACCCATAGAATGCAGACAGGCTTGGAGGACAGTTAGTAGACTAGAATTAGAAGAGCACAGGTTGCAAGGTGTTGTAGTTTCAACAATTTAATTTTTTTAAATGGCCTTGAGAATATAACTTAATGTTGGTTGCATTTGCTTCACTTTGAAAACACACTGACCTGAATTTTCCACTTCCGCTCTTAAGTTCACGTTACATGATAAAACATACAGAACTAGAAAGTAGAAAGGAAGAGCGAAGTCTGTAGTCCTTCCGATTGTCAATGTAAAATATTTAAATTCCTATTACTACTTAGGAGATCTTGTTAAGTATGCATCAGATTCCAAAATTATTTTCAGCACTAGTTACCAATAAATCTTAGATATTGATGAATAAATAAGAGTAGTTATCAGCTACTGTAAAAAACATATGAATTTAAAGTCAGGAATACTTTTTTAAGGATTTGTTTCAAAAAACAGTTAATTGTGCAAATGATAGATAACTACAGGCATTCAGAAGATCCTGCTTATTCAGTACATGGATTTACTGTGCTGTTTTTTCCGAGTATCAACAACACCAGCAAGATCTAAAGCATTTTGCTTTGCACAGATAGGAGAGTGTACAAGTTTGACCAGGAATAAATGTCCATCATAAATATCATTGTTAGACTACAGCATAAACTTTGTACCTTAAAAAGTATTTTTTTAAAAAGACTTCTGTACATGCAGGCGGGTGCTCCACCAAGTATCATATTTTCCTTTTTGTTTACTTCCAAATGTTTTTCATTTATTTTGATTTGGATAATCTGAAAAGTTAATTCTACTAATTTTCTGAATTTATCAATAAAATTGAACATCTGAGAAATTCCCCCTTTTAAAGTTTTATTATTGAATAACCAATATTGGAAATAGAAGATTGTTTATAATTATATATGTTAAGAGTTTCATGTTAATTCATGCGAGTCTTATTATTCCCATTTTAACATTTTAATAATGTGAGCTAATTTTGAAAGATGCATAAATACACAAATACGAATATCTAAAAACTAGACCTATTTGTTTCTCTGGCAAGAGACATTTTAACACTTTATATCACTTCTGCTATGGCTTACGCTGTCAGTGAGCACCTGTGCAGAATTTCCAGAGAGACTTGATGGGATTAATACTAATAGCGTGATATGAATGTTTAAGAAGATTTCTCTCCCTAAGAAGAAAATATGTAATCTCACAATGTTACTCATACTCATATGCAACCAAACATCAAGGCATAAACAATGTGTCTTTTTGGACGTAAACTAAGTGAAGGGGTAATGTAAGCCATAGTGCAGGTGATACAGAGTGCCTTTTTGATGTTTCTGAGTAGAGTCACACTTCATTTTTATTCTTGAGACACTTGTATTTGCAAATACATGTATGTAAATCCTTCAAACCTGTGAGTGTAAAAACAGGATATATATGGAAAGGCAGTAAAAATACAACTAATAATTAATATAGCCGATAGCATTTGTTGTGTTTTAAATGCCTTTGAGTACATAAGAATATATAAAAATGGACATATTACATACGTTTCTGTAAATGGTAAATCTCTGACATAAAATGGTAACTAACTTCATTGGTTGTGGCATTTGGATTGATGGAAATTGTTTATGAATGTAGTGCTGAATAAATAACCCCATCATAAAATATATGTAAGAAATCCATTATAACTAACTATCAATAATCTAAAGGCTGTGAATGTAGCATCTAACTAGAGCCTATCCCTGAAGGAGTGGCTAAAATGTCAGAGTACCAACATGCACTCACACACAAGGGTGTTTTACTTACTGATTAATTTGACTTTCAGCTTTATCCAAAGCAACTTACATGTACACCCATTTTAACAACTGGGTATTTAACTGGATTCAGATAAAATACCTTGATCATAGGTACAGTATTAGTCTGTTATGTGGGATTTTGAAGTTACATCCTTGTAGTTGCAAATTCTGAACCCTAACCACTACTCCACACAGCTGCAAGTTTAGAGACACTTATTACCTTAACCAGTATGTCTTTGCAAAGAAAACCAGGAACGGAAACCAGAGAAAAACCTGCACTCGCAGGGGGAAGATGCACACTACAAACAGATGGTGCACCAGTTGAAAATCAGCAGCCCAGCAGCCATGAAATGTGACACAGTAATGCTAACTGCCATGCCACCATGGTGCCCTCCACTATAGCCAAATAAGAAAAGTGCTGTACAAGAATGACTGCCTCTAAAAACAAATATGATATACCATGATGTTCTGTTCAGGAATTTATCCATATATCTCCATATTTTCTAAAGAAATGTATTTTTCATCTTGTTTCATCATTTTAATATCACATTACATAAGAGCGCCAATTACTGATGTTATTTTGATGGCTTCTTTAGTTATCAACACTAGAGTCTGTCTTTGACTTCCTCAGTTCTTTTGTACTTTTTGAAAAAGGAAAAAAATGTAACCTTTTAAACTAAAAACAGCATGTTCTAGATATGCCCCGAATGTTAATGCCTGACCATAGCAATATAGAAACATCTAACACTTCTACCAATCTAAACAATACACTAAATTGTGAATCTATACGGAATACAAAATATTAAAAGGGACACAATGAACTTTCTGAGGGAATGCACATCACACCAATATATTTCACCTTGAAGGAATATGCAAATGATAATAATAATAATAATAATAATAATAATAATATAATAATAATGTTTCTTTATTAGCCCTATACAATTTCTTGCATTAGGGATTCGTCTTTTCGCATACCCCATCTTTTCTCCATGGAGACACAGACAGGGAGAGAAGCTTGGGGTCAGAGCGCAGGGTCTGCCATTGTACGGCGCCCCTGGAGCAGTTAGGGTTAAGGGCCTTGCTCAGGGGCCCAACGGAGTATGATTCCTCTGCCGGCCACGGGATTTGAACCGACAACCTTCCAGTCACAGGCGCAGATCCTTAGCCACAGAGCCAAATGATTAGCAGAAATATATTTTACAATTTATAAGAATTCATAAACAGTATTTTTATCTATAAACACTACTACACTTTTGATTTAGGGATATTTGGATCAACAAGTGGAACCATTAACAAAACTTCTTATCTCTTCATTCGCTTGCAACACATGCTAGATGTATTTCATAGTAATAGTTCTTACATGCAATAAACATTGATGATCTACTCATTTGCTATTCCAAAAACTGGCTGAAAAGCTTCAACTAGCACAGGTTAAGTGAATACTTAATAAAGCAAAAGCACAAATATATATTTTTGTATACATGGGGCAAATGTATAAAGGGGGACTGTTACATTGAAAAATGTCTTCAAAGAAAAAGAACGGACTGAAGTGTGGAACTCAAATTGGCATGAATTATGTATAAGATCTATTCCTCTTATAATAGTTTATACTGTACTGTATATTGCTTGCAAGCACTCAGTTCATATGTACTGTATGTTGTATCAAAATGTTGAAACGTTAAAATGCTTCACTTTTAATATAGTACTTTTCTTCCAATAAGTATATCCATATACTTAGTATACTGTATGTAGTATTAACTATCTCCTTTTCCTATGACAGCTGATACACCACAGAAATGTATGACATGTAGTACAACTCAAGAATGCAGCATGCAATATGGATCCTAAAGATGTTGGATTGCGGTTATCGCAGATCAAGAAGTACAATACTTGTTTGCTAAACGAGTAATCAGTACAAGCATTTTTAAAAAGCATATTATAACTAAATCTGATAACCCTGAAACCAGACAATTTGCTTACTACATAGTTTAATATTCTTGTATGTACAGAGAAAAATATCTTTTTTATCTTATATCATACTCGTTATTAATAAAATGCTTAGACAGATGGTTTAAGCATGCACATTCCTTTATCTTATTTTGTGAACCCAATCACAGATAAATCACACAAAAAATATATTAAAAAAGATATACATTATCATTTTATAAACACACAACAGTGTCAAACACCAGTTAATCTTTCCATATAACACAGTAATTTGAAAATGAAAAAAATATGTTACCTTAATTAATAACACTTAATATGGATTACTAATAGATTTTGGATTATTTTTTCATATATTTTTCTGGTAAGTTGCAGTGAAGTTGTAACATCCAATATATGACTGGAACATATTTAATAATGCAATATATAAGCTTTGAACAATTATCTGTAAAGACAATCACTAGTGAGATAATACAACCACAGTACATGAATGGCAAAAAATCCAGATAAGCAGCTTTTGAACCCATAACACCTACTGTAAGTCTACACTAATTTCCCATAGACCCTGAAAATGATTCAGATTGAGGTTTTACTGAATTCCATGCACTTGTATTATTTTTTGTATGGCTATGTCTCCAATTAGTGGGTTAAGAGGTAGAGATTGACTTTTGTTAAATCATAATGTTAAATCATTTGGCCAGTGCACGAACCAGCATGTCACCCGTATTTTAGTTTTGAGTTGCCATCCAATGCTATCATCCTTGGGTTTTCAGTTGTGATTCAGCATCAGTTGATCAGTAGACATTATAATGTCAGCAATTTCACAATGCAATTTACTTATTTTCTGAAATGTATGAATAAATGATAGTTTTTTTTTACATTTTCGGTTTTAATTTCCTAAAAATAAATGTCTTAAAAATAGGTTAAAATCACAGAATCCCGGGCTTTGTCTTGACATTTGTTTTTTAATCCTGCAGAATAAACTGAACATGCATTTATAACTTCCTATTGGTTGTTGTTTTTTTTTTGCAAAGGTGGGGGGGTGCAGAAAAAAATGAAAGTGCCTGGTTATTAATGCTGTCAAATCGTGATGAAAGATTCATTTCATTTTATTTTTTATACATTTTCCAATTGTAAAACACAGAACATAAATGGGACAATTGTATAAAGTTGCTCTACCTTAGGGAAACTAGGCTACAAACTTTTTTCTGTAATTGAAATAATAATGTACTGTATATGACTGGTGACTCAAGTGAGGATCACACTGTGGTGTGGTGCAGTTCAGTACTGTATCACTACAGAAAGAGAAATAAAGCATTCTGTGTGTGTTTTTTGTTGATATTGAAGCATCCACTAATGGGAATATCCAATATTTTTGTTTAGGTATTTGTATGTGTTGTCAGGATGCGTTCTTTCCGGACCCTGTGCAGACGACACAATCCAGGGTAGAGTGAGGAAACACTGGGAAAAGGCATGCAGGAGACGGGAATGAAAACAGGGGGCGTGTCCATGGAGTGCTGGTGGTCGGGGGAGGTGTGGCTGAGGCAAACAATCCAAGGATGAGTCAAAAGGGAAATCCAAACCCAAAGTCCAAGGCCAGGCGATCCTTCCAAGACAAACGATTAAAAAAACAGAACCGGGTCGGGACCAGCAAGGGAAATGGGAATGGGAACAGAAACTAACAGCTTAACGGGACCAGGCGCATCCAGGTCCCGGACTGCAGGATCCAATGCAGAGCCCGGAATAGTGTCAGCATCTGGCTTTTAAGGGGGAACTGAAAAGGGGCTGGAACAGGGAGCAGGTGTGGGAGATAAATAACAAACAAGGAAGGGCTGGAGCGCCCTTAAGAGGAGGGGTTTGCGATCGTGACATGTATGTAATTTACATACATAAACCCTCAAACCTGAAGAAGCTCCACAGCTGAAACATTGTGTTTTCTTTCTTATCTTTTCAGCATAGAATAAACCCATTACCTGTTCATTTACCTACAGAGTATATCTTTTTCTTCACACAAAACAGGTTAACAGTAAACTTAATAAATGCCCATAACATCACAACCCCTTCCTGCAACTAGGATTGTAGAATACATAGTATTTAGAAAAGAATGGGGTTAAACATTTCATTTTTTCGGCATTAACTGTTCATTCTCATTAACTTCTTGGCAGGTATGGTTTCCAGTTCCATTACAGATATTATGTATAAGATCTTACCCAGCATGTCTTTGGAATGTGGGAGGAAACTAGAGCATTTAGATTTAAGAAGACATTAGTGTTTAGCTAATTGGTGAAAGATAATTATTAGTACATAAGGACAGTCACCAGATAAGGGTCCCACATCTTTTGAAACATACCATATCAGATCTGAGAACTATAATTAGAATTTCAATATTCATATCTTTTTGCAGACAATTTTTTTAAAGTTTTACCCAACATAGCTGCATGGTGTTATTCTAAACATGATGTTACTGGCAATTCTAAAATAAAAGTAAAAAACACCAACAGAAAAAAAAAAACTCTTTCAGTGAAATGAATGTCTGGACAATACACAGCCATGGAATAAAGTCAGCACTACCAAATAGCCAAAAGAAAACTATTATATTTCTTCTTTGCTTAAATGGATATGGTTATTTCATTAATTGAAATTAAAGTATATAATATTGTTGCATCATTGTTGCTATACCTGCTTTAGTACTACAGTGCACTTTTAAATTCTCAGGAGTTTTAAATCAGTTGATCAAATAACTTAACTTAGATAAGATGTACAGTAAGGCTAGATATAGTATAAGAGTGTTGTGTGTACTATAGCAGGATTACATCTGCTTTTATACAAGGTTTGAAAAGCAATCGGGTATACCATAAAGTTTATATAACGCATTTATTTCAAGCTGTTATTAAACATCACTGATGCATAAAGATATAAACAGTTATGTATACTGAACTGGAGCTGAGAAGCTACAGCCTCGTTATTTTGTTATTTCTCAAAGGCACACAAGTCATGCAAATATATCTGACCACAGTTCTTTTTCTTAAGGCTATGGTTTGCAAAGCGTACACTTTGGTATACAGCATATAGGTATAAGAAACAGGGACGTCATGTCTATCTAGTTTACCACACAAACAACAATAGGTCATAAACTATTCCCTCCTCATTGTTTCAGCAAGCTGTCTACAAACCACAAGAAGAGATTTAGATGGAACCTGACCTTGAATATACACGTATTAATTTACTGACAACATGAAGCCATGAAGAGCATTTCTTCTTTCTTTGTACTGTTTCACTAATGTTCTTGTACAACTGAAAAATGCTATAGTTTCCTCTGTAAAATCTAATCTCAACTGTTGTAATAGGGATCCTTGACCTCCAAATAAAGACATAGTAACCCAAATAAAATAGTTAAATCTGTGAATAAAGCTATGTTGGTCACCTCTATAAATGACAGGGTTTAGGGCTCAAAGAAAAAAAAAATGGACTGGCCATTCTTTTTAAATGTGAAGGGAAGCTGAAAAGGTACTGCCAGCATAATTATGCTCTAACGGATTGTGAATTGGGGAGATGAAATCAAGATATGCTGCTACAATTCTATGACAATATAGATTGCACACTGCTGTGATCACTAACCATGGGGATTGTTTTGTGAAAAGAAAAGTCGGCATTGAAAAAAAAGAAAAATATGCCCCCTAATGTATTTTTTATAGTTTTAATATGAGTTCACACAAATGATTAGTTTATGCACTGTTCAATTTCTGAATGTGTACATTTGAAAGATTTTCCAGAAGACCACAAACTGCTGTCTTTGTTAGTCACCAAAATATTAAACAGAAACTTTTGTATAATTCATACTGGCTCCACAAAGCACATTAGGTCACACTACTTTGATTTAGTGATTAAGGAACGGACTGGGGATCATCCCTTTACTTTAGGATCAAGGACGAATCAGGCTATCTGAGCCAGTATCATTTGGATTCAGATAACTGTGACTGGAAAAAACAAAAAATAAAACAAACATTATACGTCTTGTGCTGCACATGCTATTTTTTAACAGAACTGGTTTGTATTCTGACAGGCAAGGCATTCTTCAGGCATTTAGTGTTATTAGCATTTTTCATTTCTTTTACAATTGTTGCATTAGCAGACATTTTTCAGTTAAATATTTAAGATAATAAGAATAACAGATATGTCTCAGATAACACATTGGATTTACCTGGCTTTCTTGCTTCATGCACATGGTGGTGAAAAGTAGTTTCGTTTTGAAAAGTAATTTTTCTATTGAGTAAAACATCACTTTCTAAAAACAAGTCATCTAAGATAGCTTTTGAAATTGACAATTGGTGAGATTGGTCAAACAAATATGTCCCGGAGTCCTGATGTTAAATAAATTGATCAGGGCAGACATACCACATTAACAGATTAAATGATTGCTTTGAGAGGAGGTCTCTGAATAAACAGAACTGACATAATGTGTATTAATGAGAGTTAAGACAGGGCACAAGTGCTTTCAGTCACATTGTATTCAAAGCATTCATTTTCTTTTGTGTCTTACCTTATTGTTTTACAAAAAGAAGACAACTGTTTATTGTCTTTAGATTGATATGACTGTGCCTGTTAAAACAAGTTAAAGTTTCTTAATTTGTATTTCTTAAAGAAATAACTAAATGTATATTCTATTAACACTTACTTATTTTCATATAAATGTCTGTATAATAACTCATTTCATGATTTGCCCTCTTTGACTTCTAGAACAAAATGTCATTACAAAAATAAGGCACATCGAAACCTTTGCAAGTTTTCACCAGGATGTGATTCAACCACAGTTTCTTACAAACTGTTCACAGGGCTTGTTAATTGAATTCAATTTATCAATGAGGTAACAGACGTGAAGAAATGTTTATCTTGAAAGGAATTAAAATGAAACACAAAGAGAAAGACACTATCAAAATATGCTAGCTGTGGACGAAAAAAGGAACAAAAACAAAAAATTCTGCAGGAAGTTGCTATTGTTTTCAACCATTCACGTTGCATTTAGATCTTCTTTTATTTTTGATCTGAATTTTTGAAAGTGCATACCTTAAAGGTTATGGCATCAACTGCTGGTTCCTGTAAATCGAAATGTATGCAATTGTAACTCTCCAGATCAGTTTGCTTTTCTGCCTGAATATTAAGAATAATTTCATTTATTTATTCAGACATACAGTACCCACATGTATGTAAACTGAAAACTGTAGCAATAAAAAGAAAAAAAAATCTCACCTTCTTTTATCTTTATAATCACATATAGTTTACTTATTAATTAGAAATAAGATGGAATCTTTAGTTTAATACTGTATTATATTTTTTTTTCATAAAAAATAAATTGTGTTTATTCTTTTTTGTTTCACTTACAGTCTGCCGACTCACTTCTTTCAACTTAAAGAAACCTCAAATAATCATCTTCGCTGGCTCAAAAAGAAAAGATGTTTGTTTAAAGTGCAAGTTGAGTCCTGTATTTTAACATCACTGTTTTGACAAAGGGTCACCTAATTGGGTGGCTGTGAAATGTGGTGATTCATAACTGTTAGAAATAGGTAGACCATGCCAGGGTTTTCTCATCTTTAAGAGAAACAGTAACTCACTTGACTTGTCAGCTGACTGCACTGATTGGAGCGGTGAGATTCTTCTAAGAGAAAAAGTGGACACTGCAGTGTGCCACCAGCTGAATGACTCTGACAGATGGGCTTGTCAGAGGAGCATGTCAGCCAGGCCTCATTCTGTCCATGTGGTACAGGTGTCATGGCTGTAATTTAAGTCTTTGTAGAAATCTGCAATTCAAATCAAAGTTTATTTATGAAATGCACAACAATACAGAATGCAGCAGTAGTTGCTGGCAATTAAATGTATTTTCTACGAGCTCACCGGGGGGGGGAATGATCACAAAATTTACAAAAGTTAAAAAAGGTTACATAATAATACATAACTACTGGGTATCTCTGTACATTTTAAAACTTTAAGTTTTGGATTACTTAAAAAGATACAAAAGCACATCTCAGTGACAGAACAGTAATAGATTTGCTTGCTGGGGATCAGTCATGTCAAATGAATACTGCTACAAGTAAGTCTTACTACTACAAGTACTGTAAGTGCCCTAAAGTGGAAACATAAATTCTGACATTTGTAAATCATCCATAAATGTTGGAAAACTAGAACTAGAACTAGAACTAGAACATAAAAACAGGATTGCCAATAAAATATTTTAGTGCGATTAAAAAAATCTTCATCAGGGAAAGGAAAAAAGAAACATTGTAATAATGTGCCCTTAACAATGTTGAACTCATGGGAATTCTTCAAGAATCATCATAAAAGCTCTTAGGCTTATCATTGTTCTAAAGGATTGAATTTTTGTTTGTGTAGTAAGCAGGTGTTTCTATTACATTCTAATACATATACAATTATATAGGAAACTAATCATGATCGCAGTATAGGTGTA